TTATCCCTGTACAGCTTTAGGATGGATAACTGATTCTGAACATGGCCTCCTGAAGAGGCTACAAGCATGATTCTCACCTAACTGCCCAATTAGATTATATAGTGGTTGTAGGCAGACTAGAACCAGGCACTGACTGCCCTGCTGCACGCAGATGGGGCCACAGGAAGGAAAAAAGATAATCCAATAGATTCTTTCCTGTCTCATACCTTCCCTCCTTTATATTAATGAGAAGAGCCAGGTTGGTCAGACATGGGCCCAATATGTAATTGTTCTAAAGAAGCATTAGAAGTGTGGCACTACAGCTAGAATACTAGACAGTCTTTGCCTTTGAGGAACAAAAGCTGGTTGTGAAGACAAAATATAGCTCTTTGAAGCCTTCATACAGCAATATACTATATGAAAGTGCAAGTCAGCCATTCAAAAGGAATTTAAGTGATGATGGGGATCCAGAGAAGTGGAATGATCTCCTGGACTGTTCAGAGGTTTTCTGTAAGGGGTAACGTGAATCAGATTTTAAAGAGAGATAAACACAAATTGACTAACCAACAGGGAGTAAGAAGGGATTTCCTTAATATACCCTTTTAAGTAATCATTTTTCCTAAAGTGGGTACATTATTAACAAGGATACTATATCTAGTAAATATTATACATGTATTTTGTAAATACTAATAATACCTAGTCAATCTTTGAAATGAACTGCCTACCATTCTGTTCCAAGAGTAGATGTACTACAATGAGCTTTAATAAAAGATTTTTTTAAATGGAAAATTACTGGCATAGATATATAAAAATAGGAGTTAATGAGCCCAAATCATCCCACTTCATCTTTTTTTTAAACATCTAATATTTCTTTATGAATTTCTTTAATCTTGGGATTTTCCTATTTCTTTACCTTGTATTAAAAATATATATACTGTTCCATAAGTCTCTAATAATGGGAAAAAACCTAATTGTTATTGAATTGCATGAAAATATGTTCTTCCTGAAGCAAGAGTTCATTTTGAGCTTTCAAGACTCTTACATATTACGAATGTAAGATTAAGTACTAACTATTGAAATGATTTATTCTACTTTAACAGTTTACATTGTTTTCAGCCTCAGAATAGGATATGGGTTTTAAATTCTTTGAAGCCAAAGACAAGTCTTATTTGTTTTGCAAGTCATTTAGCACAGGTTACACTCTCCATTACTAAACAGACTTTAATTCTGATGGGTTTTAGACTTTATTAGATATAATTGATGGAATTATTTTTTAGCCTTCTGAAAGGAAACCATATGTGCAAATTTGCTGTAATAAACTTTTTAAAAGTTACCTAAAATAACTATTCTAAGAAAAATATTCTTTTGTTAGAAGAATCTACGTAGCACATTCTAGGGAAAGGCCTTGGTATGAGTCTATTGAATATGTTCAGAGAAACCTCACATTCTACTGTGGTAGGTTCAAAAGTCATTTTTTATCTGTTCATCAGAGGAAAAAAATTAGATAATTTTTTAGTTCATCACTAAAGATTTTTTGAATACTTTACAAACATGTTTGCTAACCCACTGAAATTCATGTAGCCTAGGGTAGAGGAGAACCATTATTAGATGAAACTCGGGGACTGTCAGTACCAGCATAGATGGGTTTTCAGGACCCCACAGGTTCTGAAAGGTGGGTGTCCTGTGAGGACTGGCTCAGCCGGAGTGTGCCCTGTGCTTTCCAGTCTGGATTTAAGGTCTGCTCTGAGTCCCTGAAGCTGTTCCTTAACTGACCTTCACAAGTGGCTTTAGAATCTTGAAATAAATGTGAACAATGTCTATGTGCTCCTTAAATCATCCATATAGAGCGTATTAGTGTTTGCTAATGGAGGGTTTAAGTAGCACATTAAGGAAAAGTGGCAGGCTGGGATTCTTAATGCGAGCTCATCATGTTGCTTCTAACTCATGGAGTTACTGTGAGGATTAAGTGAAATAGTGAGAGGTGCCTGACTCTGAAGTATGTGCTCAGCGGATGTTTGCCTGCTCCTTCCTTTCGCTGGTAATGTTTTTGCTTAACATTTCTGTAAAACACATTGATTGACTTTATCAGTATGTATAGTGTGTATGTTTAACTTGGACATTTTTAAAAAGGATTAGGGATTCCTAGCAAAATAGTTCTAGTCATTTAAAAATAGATTGAGAAAATGCATACTTTATTTGAGATAAAGTTGTTGAAGCTTGTTTTCCATGCTGTACAAACTTGTCACTTTTTTCTTTTTGCCTTTGGAAAGTTTCACATTAACAGCATGAGAACTTAAAAATACAGTTGATGTTGAAAGAGCTTAACTAAATATTTTAAATTGGTGGTATTGGAAAGAGATTCTGTAAAAATCCAATTAAACTTTTGAAAGCTCTATCCTGTTGAAATAACTTAAAGGAAGTCAGTTTGGTTTCCCAGAAGTACTGTGCATAGTGTTTCTGGCTGAGGAAGAAAGGCCCGAATCTGCTATTTGGCCAGAAATTGGGTACTAGCTTCCTCTACAATGTTTTATTTGAGCGGTGTTGACACTTGAACAAATCCCATAGAAACTGCCCCAAGTGGGGAATAGTTGTCCTTGCTTTTATAGTACACACTTGGACCCATAACTAACGTCCCAGACACTGGTAGTATTCTTGGCTGAATAATCTATAGATGTGCATAAATTGAGAGCAAAACCCCAAATGTTTTAGGAACTTTAATGGCTACCGTTTTTCAACCAATCAGAAAAGTAAACTTTAAAAAATATTAGTACAGTTTATTGCTTCATAGCCAATAAAAATAGTGAACAAAAAGAGTCTAGTGTCCCTTGTTTCTTAAGTAAACTCTGAAAATTCAGTTTTCTTTCTATTTAATTATTAAATTCAAAAGCCTAGAATGATTTCTTTTAAAATTGGGGCACTTTAGGAATTTTTTTCCTTGCCTCAGACATCAGAAATAACTTTCTTTACATTAAATGACAGTAAAGTATTTAACCAACATGTTTGTTTTTGTGAATTTATTATTCATGAGGAATAAAAACAAACACTGCAAAAAATTAATTTTTTTGTTTGATTTCTATCTATAAGAGTGATACCAGTATTTATTGCTAATATTAAAAAATCTATGTATTAAACAGATTAAATGTGAATATAAGTGAAAGAAAAGTGTTTTATTATGTTATTTAAGAGTTGAGTGTATTAACTTTAAAATCTTAGAATTTACTATGAGAAAAAAACACTTCAGGAATTGATGGTCCATTTTACAAATGGAGTGATAGGAACCGGAAAGGGAATTTAAAAAATAAAAAAAATTGTGTCCTGTTCAGAGTCAGAGGAGAGGAGAGAGAGCAGAAAGGTGGCTCAGGGATGCATACCATAAGGAGTTGAAAGAAATCTCATGGGAAATAGTTGGTACAAATTTCACAGAGCCATTCTGGCCTTTTTTTTCCCCTTTGTTTTTATGGAATTTTATTTGAGTCAGAAGAGTTATCAGAACAGCAAAAATATATTAACCACAAGCTGTGAGATGTGTCGATGTGGACAATGTCTTTTAAAATTCGGATTCACATGAGGAATCTTACAACTTCCTGAACATGATACTGCTAAATCAGGCAGAAAGGTGGTTGAGTTTCATGGTGGTACTAAGGAGTGCTCAGGGCAGCTCTGAGGCTCTTCTCTTTCAGAAGAAAACATTTTTAAAGGAATTTAGGAATTTGACTATTCAGAGTTTCAAAAGGTATCTATATAAAACAACAGTAAGCCAGCAGTACTTTAATATGCAAATTTATCTCACAAACTATTATCTTAAACTAACATTCATAGAAAATTATAACAATAATGCATAAATATAGGAACTACTAGTTAATGCTCAGTGAGATTCTTATGTTTTGGGATTTATTTAGGAGACTACGTGATCTCAATTAAATAGGATTAATTGTAAAACTGGGAGTTAAGACTGCATTTATAAAGTAGTTTTAAAAGCTTAGCAAACTTTAGATAACATTAAGAATAATACAAATTGTAGTGGGCAGCAGCTCAGTTATCAATTCACTATTGAAGTGAAGAGAGCTGTGAAAGAATAGGTAGATTAAATGATTAGAGACTTCTCAAGTATGTATTACACATGTAAGCTCCTTGCAGCCAGGCATTTTTGTTCTGCTGACAGTTGTATTCCAAGTGTTCAGGCCAGTGCCTGGCATATAATAGACACTTGGCAAATCATTTATAGAATGAATTTTGATAATCTTTTGGGTGCAGTGTATTACAAAGAAAAAAATGCATAAATCAGCAAATGTTAGAATTATGGTTGTTTCATGACACTATACCAAAGTGAAGTTACCAGTACTAGACTTTCTGATTTGGTTGAGGAATTTATTAAATATCAAATGCATAAAGCTTTAACACCATTCAGTTTAAAGATTTATCTATCTTCTGTTTCCATCCATTTTGGAGGCTGTGTGTTCAAAGGGTACTGGTGTATGTGCTGAAAGTTTGCAGTCTAGGACCAGTTTGAAGTAAAGGATCACAGCCCTGTGACATTAAATCCATTTTGTTGGTTATTTGAGCAGCTCCCTCTTGAGTAGCTCCCCAGTTTTTTCCTCTCTCGGCTATTTTATAGCCATTAGTCCTACACTCATTTAATTTGGGTTTGTTGGTTTTGACATTGTGTATTTGCACAGTAATGATGAAGCCATCTAAGTTCTCTAGTCATTTCATGGATTTATATGTGCAGGAGCAGTGCATAAAAACAAAAGTACTGATTCATCTCGCACATTTAAAATGGCCATTTTTCCATTTCTTTAGTGGTACACAGAATGCTTTTCTCTTTGTATAATTAGGTAAAGTAGCCTATGAGACAGTGACTCTTTCCACTAGATGACTTTGAGGGAAGTGAGTTCATATCAGAATTCATGAACTTGCCTTCTCTTGGACCATGACTTAAAAAAAAAATTCCTTCTCAGGCAGTATCTATGGTATTTTTGCAAGCAGGCCACCTCACCTCTCCTCTTCGTTCATTGCCATAGGTGAGAAGCCATACAAATGCACCTGGGAAGGCTGTGATTGGAGGTTCGCGCGCTCGGACGAGCTGACGCGCCACTACCGGAAGCACACCGGGGCCAAGCCGTTCCAGTGCGGGGTGTGCAACCGCAGCTTCTCCCGCTCAGACCACCTGGCCCTGCACATGAAGAGGCACCAGAACTGAGCCACCGCCACGGGCCTGCTGTGCCTACACAATTCACACTGACGTTCTGCAGTCCACTTGGCAAAATTTTAAACTACAAACTTAACCATATATATATATATATGTGTATATATATATATACATATATATATATATATATATATATATATATACATATATATAAAAATCTGGAATGCTTGCTGTAATGTATATGGCTTTACTCAAGCAGATTTCATCTCATGACAGGTAGCCACATCTCAGCTTGGGGTGGGGGGGGGGTTGGGGTGCAGGGTGTGTTTGCAGTGTTTTTACCTAAGCACCATCATTTAATGTGACAGTGTTTAGTAAATAAGTCAGTTGGCAGGCACAGGACGAAGGCTTGATTGTTTGTCAAGATTTTACTTGACATCAAGTAGTTTTTAAATATTAGGTAATTCCTTAGAGGTGAGCAGTATACCTGGCAATTCACAAATAGCCAATGAACAAATGTGTTTGTTTTGTTTTTTTATATGAGTTGCCTATATTTGCTATTCAAAATTTTGTAAATACGCAAATCAGCTTTATAGGTTTATTACAAGTTTTCTAAGATTCTTTTGGGGAGAAATCATAAGTAATTCTTTTGAAAATAACCATGAATACATTTACAATTAGAATTTGTGGTAAGATACCTCTTAAAACCTTCCAAATAAATTTCTTTAGGAGAAAGAAATCATTCAAATGAACTTAGCAGATTTCATGCACTGATTAAAATAGGATTGTTTATTTTAAATATGAAAGGCATTTTATATGAATTGTGAACTAGAGATTAAAGGATAGTTACAATATACAAAAGTTAAACCTCTTACAATAAGCTAAACTCAGTATCATTTGTAAAAGGAAGGACTTACGTAGTTTTCACATGGCAATGTTGAATTTATTATGCGGTTTTCATATATGGAAATGTTGAAATTATGATGCAGTTTTCATATACCGAGATGTTTGCTCGTGCAGTACTGTTGGTTAAATGCCAATTTATGTGGATTTTGCATGTAATATACAGTGACACAGTAATTTTACCTAAATTACAGTGCAGGTTAGTTAATCTATTGTTAATACTGACTCAGTGTCTGCCTTTAATTATAAATGACATGTTGAAAACTTAAGCAAGTGCTACATATATGCAATATAAAATAGTAATGTGATGCTGTTGCTGTTAACCAAAGGGCAGAAAAAATAAGCAAAATGCCAAAAGGGGTCTTAATTGAAATGAAATTTTAATTTTGTTTTTAAAATATTGTTTATCTTTATTTATTTTGTGGTAATATAGTAAGTTTTTTTAGAAAATTTTCATAACTTGATAAATTATAGTTTTGTTTGTTAGAAAAGTTGCTCTTAAAATGTGTAAATAGATGACAAACGGTGTAAATATTTTGTAAGGCTTCAAAATGTTTATACGTGGGAACATACCTACATAAAAAGCATAAATCAGTTGCTGTTTTGCTTCTTTTTCCCTCTTATTTTTGTATTGTGGTCATTTCCTATGCAAATAATGGAGCAAACAGCTGTATAGTTGTAGAATTTTTTTGAGAGAATGAGATGTTTATATATTAACGACAATTTTTTTTTGGAAAATAAAAAGTGCCTAAAAGATTCATGTTGTACCTTCCTTCTTCACATATGATAGCAAAACATTTAGCGAATTCCATTCTCAGCTATTCAAAAGGGTCTTTTATCAGGACAGTTTATAAAAAACCAATTTCCATATTGAACCAATGCTTGCCTTTGTTTAACACAAGAGAGGGATTTGTTTTTTAAATATTAGAACTATACAGGGGGGCATAATTCATGAATGCTGATTTTTTTGGTTCGGTACATGGGCACACCTGCATTAACCTTTTCCTAGATTATTAGTTGAATACAGTGGAGGTAACTTGGATATGCTAGTTTTATTACCAGAGGCAAAACAAGAATTGGGTTTTTAACTTTTTTTTTTTGAAAGAAGCACTAAAAGTTGACTATCCGCTAACAACAAGCACACCTAGAGCTTAGCTCTTTGTTTCTAGTACCATTCTGCAATGAAAAGAGCAGACTCCTTAAAGAGAAATGGCTGGTTCTAGGACTGGGGCAGGAAATGCATAAAATAAGTCTGGAGTATCTTACAATGTCAGAACGAAAGCTGAATTTAAAAATCCCACAATGATGGGTGGTGTGTCAGCCATAATATAAAGTAGGATTGGATTACAACCCAAAGCATAAAATATCCATGAGTCCATACTGATATAAATGATGGCTTAAATAGGAGAAAGACATCTGTGAAGAAGTCGAAACACTTTCTGCAGGTCATCCCTGGAGATAGAACATAACACCATTAAGTCCCAAGAGTACAATATGGCTGGGAGAGGAACCACAGTGCAGAGACCTGCCCAACACCCTCAATCAGGTGATCAAGGTCCACATCAACAGTGATAAGTCATTTGATAGTATGTACCCTTGATTTGATGTCATGAAAATGGAACTTTGTGGTCTTTCTCCTTAAAACACAGAACCCCAGTCTAATGAACACATCAGACATCTCAATTTGAGGGACATTCTACAAAATACCAGGTACTCAAAGCTGCCGGAGTCATGAAAAGGAAAATCTGAAGCTGTCACAGCCAACAGAAGCCTAAGGAAACATGACAACTAAATGTAAACTCAGTGGGATTCTGGAACAGAAGGACATTAGGGAAAAACAGGAAATCCCAATAAAGTATGAAATTTGGTTAATGTTTCAATATTGGTTTATTAAATGTATCATACTAACGTAAGCTATAATAGAGAAACTGGGGTGGGGTATACAGGAACTCTAATCTTTGCAGTATTTCCTGAATCTAAAACTAGAAAAAGTTTATTTTTAGAAAAGTGAAGGAAAGAATTGGTGTCACTATTATACATTTTCAATAAATGGGAAAATCCCTGATATTGTTGGAGCTGAAGTGAAAATGTCAGTTACATAATATGGCATCATAAGTTCATTCAGCCTCTTATTTGACTCCTCATTCTTTCCTGTCATTCGAGTTCTATCTAGCTCAACAATACAGTACAATCCATTCCCTAGCCAGAATTTCTCACTGGGGGAAAAACTTGATCATTTCTTTGGCTTAAATTAATTTCTAGATGTTGAAATGGAGGGGATGTCAGTTTTTTTGAACCAAGGATAACTCCATATGGCCAGTAACAAATCACAGGTGCATCAATATTCAGTTGTAACTGATAATTGTATGAATTAAGAAATTTTCATGAGTAGAAACCTCCACTCTTGCTTTGGGTTCCCAGCACTTAATTGTATTCAGCTCCTAACACTTAAAACACCATTTTACCCCAGGTTACTCAGCACAAGTGTTTCCAATTCTCTTTCCCTCTTAAACTTTTTCCCTTGTGTAGGCTGCTCTCTCGCCTGTCTTGCCAGCTACCTGTTCAAATCCTTGTCAGCCAAAGCTCACTTCAGACCTTCAGTCTTTATTAGCCACACTCCTTAGAACTTCTTTTGTATTTGGAGACATGACAATTGAGCATTTGAATTATTTTCTGACTCTATCATATCTGCTTTTCTTCCTCAGATTGTCAACTCCTTGGAAAAAAACACCACTTCTTAGGTTGCCTTTGTATCCCTGCTCTTACTGATTGATAAAGCAGATGTCAAAAAACAGCTTGATGGTGTGAATTGACTTAAACCCTGCAGGAATTGAATTAATCTAACATTTGCCAAATTTCCTCTTCATGTTGCATTGTTGGTACAAGCGCTGCTGTTGGATTTTTGATAAGGTGTGTGAAACTGTGATTATAAGGTACGCAAACAGGTAATGCCTCGTGAATTTTTAAACATCCTTAGGACGTTTTTGAGGGAAAATTATTTTTCACAAGTATAACTAATACTCTTCAAAGCTGCAAATAGTTTAATTGTTGATCATTAGCACGCCCCTTAAATGAATATTTGGTTTCAAACATATTCTGACCAGTCTCATGGTAAACAGGATACTCCAACTTGACAAAAATTGATAATGCACCAGGTTCCAGAGTGGCCAGAATGCAATTATGTGATTTGGTAACTAATGCTCCGAGTTTTAACTACTTTCACTTAGGTTTTATTCTCCCCACCCCCAAGTTATCTTGTCTTTTGTTTTGCTTCATTTTGTCATTTTAATTCTTGCCTCGCAGCTTGTGTTAAGTGCATCACTTCATGGCATTCAATTAGAGAATCCTTAGATAAGCATGACCTGGCCTGCCTACATAAAAATGTTCTTCAAAATCTAGTTAGATTCCTTTTCCTATCTGCAACTAAGCCCACCAGAGCTCTTTGGATTAACTTGTGGGCCGTAACATAACAAAGAAGAGCTTTATCCTCCATTACTAAATCTGGTCTCTACTTTGAAGTTAACCAAATTCCATCTTCAGTTAGATTCTTCATTGCCATGTTTAACTAATCAATAAGAGATAGACAATAGAATGGGGGGGGGACGGCAGTGGGAAGGGGAGGGGGGTTGTCACTTTGGGAGGGGTGAAAAGGATAACTAGTGCATTGTTTTGTACACCTGAAACTAATAATAATAATAAAAGAGACACCCCCCCATTTTTTTTACTTTTTTTTTTTTTTACAGAGTTATAGGTCACAAACCTGACATTTAATTCTTATTTTCAAAGTGACTATTAAGGAAATAAAAGTTTAATAAATCACATGAGAGCTATGTATGATTGGAAGAGTTAGTTACACGAAAACTCAGAACTTTTTCTGTGTAAGCCAGCAATCTTTATTTTATTGTATCTAACCTTTTCAGTGCTTATCACTCCATGAAAGCATTTGGGGGGTATAGAAATGTTAATATTCTTGAATATAAAAGTAAAAGCTTAATGCTATTTGGCAGCTGAAGACATTTGAATGACGATGTATATGTAAGGAGTTGAATAAAAAACTAAGAGGCTCATATAAACTAGGTAAAAATGGTAAATTAAATACATGCATTTAATTTTGCAGCCTCCTAAAACCCCACTAAAATAAAGGAGCTTTTTCCCCAAGGCATAAACCAACGAGAGCAGAAAGATAGAAATACCAACAAACTTGTGGGAGCTGGAAAAAGCTAGATAGTAGAAGCAACAAGCTGAGCAGAACTGAAAAAGCTAAATCCTAGAGTAGTAGTGGAGAAAACCAAGAACGAACATAATTCTAACCCCCGAAGTACCCCAAAAGATTTCAGGAATTTGTATTAATAGTATCAAGTACTTCTACAAGTAGAGTTAAAATATGATTGTTAACAGTCTGTCTAAGAAGGTTTTTTTTTGTTTGTTTGTTTGTTTAAAGATTTTATTGGGGAATTGCGGGGATGGGAACAGTGCTGGGGAATTGGGGGAAGGGGAACAGACAAGTTGCTGACCTTTTGTTCTTCAGTCTAGTTGTGGAGGATGTTGCTTCACTGGCCCAAGTTGGCACCATCATTGCGCTCTTCCCAGGCGAGGCACATCAGTCACCGGCTTCTTGTCTAAGAAGTTTTTAATTCCCTATTTCCCCCTACCCCAACCCACTCCAACATATATACACTGTGAATAGGGAATAAACAGCTAGTCTCTACCCCAGCAGAAGAATAAAAGTTTATATGCTTATTCTTTGGAGGGGGTCTTTAAATTAGTAGATAATTTAAAAACAGAGGGCCTTTAAATTAGTAGATAACAGGTTTAATTAAAGCCAGGAGTGCCAAACAAAAAATAGGATTGGATGAATATGTTGTTATTTGTTGGAACCCATTCCTCTAATCTTCCCCATTGAGTTCCCAGAATGCTGTAGTCAAGCCTTTATCCTCCAGGCTGGAGGCTGGCATAGTCTTCAGAACAGATCAAAGAGGACAGATCTAAATATACTGAAAATCCTAAGTTCTCCAAGAATATGGCCAGCCAGATCACTCACAGAGAAATGCACAAATGATTAGCCCCACACATATACTCAGAGCTCTTCCAATCTTTGATCCCTCACTACTAAATATTAACAGACAACCAAAAATTACTAGATATCAGAGGAAACCCACTAACATGAAAGATAGAGATAAAACAGATGAGCAAAAAAGACTATGAAAGGCAGGTAAAATAGTTTGTTAAAAAGGATAGTATTAACAGCTTTAGAGATGTAAGAAAGATATTACAACTATGAAACAAACAGGACGTTCTACATAACATACAGAAAACAAAAAATTAAAATGGAAAACATGAGAGCAGAAAGAATCAAAAGTAGAATAAGCATAGAATTGCAAGAGAAGTAGTGTTCCAATTAGAGAGTTCCATTATCAAAACAGAAGATCCAGAAAGAATAGAAAAAAATGAAAGTAGAAAGAGAAATTAAGAAAATAATTCAAGAGAATGCCTTCAAATCAAAGGACATGAATTTCCGGAGTAAAAGGCTTTTGGGATGCCCTAATACACCAGTGTAAATAGAGCCACATCAGTATGAAATTTCAAACCCTGGGACCAAAAAGAAGTTTCTAAAACTCCCAGGGAGAAAAACAAATCATACATAAAGGAGGTTGAAATGCTTTAGACTTTTCATCAGTGACATTGAAATCTAGAAGACAGTAGAGAAATGCCTTTAGAGTTCTAAAGAAAGATGACTTTTAATTTGTAATTTTATAC